AAGGGCTTCACAGGGTCCGCACCAAGAGTTGGTGCTTGTTTTCCTTGGCTTTTCCATGTGAGCTCAAATTCAATCTCTTCCCAGTGCTCCTGGCAATTGCTGCCGGAGTTGATCTGGTCTGTACTGGAGGAGGGAGGGGAAAGGAAAGGGAGGATGGCATAGGGCACCAGAAAGGCACTGCTCTAGTTGCAGAGTAGGCAGGAGCATGATCAGATTCTGTGCAGCATTCCACCCAGCCCAGTTACCTCTGCCTGAGGTTTCCCTTTTGACTTTCTTTTGGACTTTGGTCGCCTAAGCCACTGCAATGTGTTTCTGTGGTACCTGAATTTTAGGTGACACTACACTGAGTAAAGCAGAAAGGGAACAGGTGACCTATCAAATCACGTTACATCAGAAGCACTATGAGTGTATGTGTTTGCATTGGATGGGCATGGATGCAAGGACTCTGTTCAAGTGGAAAGAGTACAATAAAGTTTGCAGTTCAGGGACTCTCACCTGCCCTTGTCAGACACCCTTTGCCCACCGTACTGATACACGTTCCAAACATTTGAAACACAAGCTTCAAATCTAAACTGAGCAATGAAACAGTCCCTCCCAACATGAATGTACCATTCATGAAGGATGTATGCTGAGGCCAGGAGAGCAGCAAACATGGTCTAGTTGCAACTCTGGGTGACACTACTGGCAGAGGTGTAAAACTGCTGCATTTTCTCTTTTGAGCTGCATAGCCTCATTAGGAAATTGAAACATTTGTGGGTCTTTCGTGCAGTCTTTTTCCTCTGGGATATTTAAGTTCGATGACTTTTAGCATGGTGAGGCAGGCTGTAAAGCTTCAGAGAATTACCTTGATGATATGACGGCCTCTTCCATTTCAGCTGGAATTCAAGATTCTTAATACTTCTCAATACTTCCTCTGAAGTATTCATTGAAATTCTGTGCACGATTTATTCCTCTGGTTGTTTAACAATGTCACTCATGTTTGCCCTGATTTAAAAAATCCTCCTTTGTAGCTGCTATGTAGATAACATAGAGCAGGATGATATAATCGCAGTAAAGAGGCCGTGGAGCTTGCAGTGATAGAATGGTTCATCTGATGTGTACTGCCATTAGAAAATAACCCATGTATGTGTGTTCTCAGGGAACAGTAAAGAGGCTTTTAAAGATTACTCTTCATGTAGTATGAAAGCTAATGAGCAAAAGAGCAAGTGCAAAAAACCTTATTGCTGCTCTATGTTGCCACTTCCTGTTCTCATTTTCCTTACACCTGTGTGGCTCCAAAATATCCACCTCTGCCCGGTAATGTCTGGTTTCTCATGCACTGCAGTCAGTTTTCAAGACTTTTGAGAATACAGTATTATTTCCATGCCACTGAAAAGTAAATAGCACATGAAAAGCATGGCATAGTTTAAGACTATGCTCTGTGCATACAAATTAGGTAATTTTGGTGGAATGGCACTCTCTGATAGTCTGTGCCTGAGGTTAAAAAAAAAAAAAAAAAAGGATATCGTTTCAAAAACAGTGCTAAAGGTTGATAATAGTCTCAAATCTCCCATGCCCATTCTTTTTCCTGGCCAGAGTGCAAAAACCTACAAAGATATCAACATCCAGTAAACACTGGAGGACCTGTTTCAAATATTAAATGGAGAATTTGGGCTGCAGTGATAGGAAATTCAGAGCAGCTGGTTTCGGATATTAACAACTTCTTGTCCAGATGGATTGCCACTTAGAGTGCCACATGTTCTATTTTCATCTGTGCTGAAACAGAAGCCATTTAGCAGAATAGATATTGACACTATTTTTCGTCACAGCATTTTACTTCTTGCTTATAAAGCTTGTTGTAGATTTTTAAAAATTCACTTTTTAATATTCTGTACCTGCTCTGTAATGTTGGAATATACTTTTGTCACATTTTTATGTTCAATGGAATGGACAAACCTGCATCTTTCTTCACGTATTTTACATAATAAAGGGTCAGGCTTTGCTATCACGTAAAATGAAGTGGCTTTATTGAGATGCAGAACCTTGAAGATGCTGGATTTTGACTAAATGCTGTAGTGATTTCTACAGCATGCTCTGACATCCGCAGCTTCAATTAATTCCAAAGGGTACTGCTCATTAGAAAAAAATCCATTAATATTAAGTAAAAAAGAGATGGCAGCCAGCATCTTTGCAGAGATACACACAGGCCAGTAAACTTCTTAAACATTCCCATTTCTACTTACAAGTCAGGGCATTAAATATTCTGAACAAAGAAGTTACATATTTTCCCTTAAAGTCTAAGAGGATTCAGGATACAACCTATTTGCTCCCATCTAATCAAACTGGAAGTATGTTAGAGTGCATGTGAAGTATTTGTACTGAGGCTTTTCTTTGTGGTCAGAGCATTACAAAAGCCTTACACAAGGAGTAGGGAAAAGGTCTTATTCTCACTTTCAGGGATGTAATTGATGTACTCTGCAGGTTGGGATGGGGTGAGGTGTGTGCATGTCCTGTGGTCAGGAGAAATTGGTAAAGTCCTTGAAGATGTTAGAATAAGATTGTTAAAATAATAATGCATATCCCAGTGGACCTCAGCTCTTCAGCCTGTCTCCTTTTCATATTTCTGCACCTAAAACTTGGAGCAGTTATGTCATGTACTAAGCAGTGCTTGCTAGTACAGAGGAGATTTTCAGGGCTGAGTGTTTATGTTTGTGTGTGTCATTGGAACTTTAAGGTCTTAAATGTCCCATCCTACCAAACCCATTCTATGACTCTATGTTTTTGTACTACTCCCAGGAGATAACACCTATATGTTCATCATAAGGGTAGCTACTTCAACTTTTTAATGATTTTTTGTTTCCGTTTGATAGTATGTCTGCACTGGGTCATAAATCTGTCATATTTGGAGAATATGGAACACAAAACTTAGGTGAAGAGAGAGATGGGTATTCAAACACACAGCAGGGCATTAGCAGTAATCTCACAAAGGTAATGTTAATGCAATCATATCTACTAGAGATAACAGAAGAGCTGCTTTCTACTTGACCCCACTGGTGTCTGTCTGTCTCTGAAGAGTATCAGTCTGCCACGCTGTGCCAGTGCATTACAATCCAGTTCTCTGAGCCTAGATCCAGTGTTGGATTACATTCCCCAAAAGTGTAACTTGATCCCTGGCTCACTATCCATCTATGGTTCTGTACACATCTGGGACTTTAACAACCAGAGGTGACAGGAGATTAATTTCAGGTTGCTGCTTCTGCTGCCAGTTGACACCTCTCTACTTAAACTTTCCATCCTCCTTCCTATCCTTTATCCCCTCACTCCCATAATTGGTGTACTGGAGCAGAAGGGAACTTGTAATTTTATTATTGCTGTATAAGCCTTCTGTAAACTCAGTTACAGCAGTTCAGATGTTGGTAATTTTTATGACTAAAAAATATGCTAACAGCATTTGGGCATAGGAAAAGAGCAAATCTCAATGTATAATAATCTGATAAGTTTGGGAGATGTTTAATTATAAGTTAATCACTCATGGAATTATTTTTTTTAAATTTTTCTCAGTGACTTCAGACATTAATCTCTGGAATGGCATCTTTAATGCCAAATACTTGACCAGAAATCTCAACATTTCCTTGGCATAAAAACAGATTTAGAAGGAAAGCTATCAATTGACAACAGACCAGCAGAAATAGAGACATTTGATACTTTATTTCTCTTACATAATGAAGAAATATCCAGATTGTGGTTTTCACTTTGTGAAGTATATTGAACCAGGTGCTGTATTCATTAATATAAATTGAGCAGACATGACACAATTTTTTCATAGAAAGATGACATGGAGTTGCTCCTTCTGGTAGTTCTTCTTTGTCTGAAATATGCTTATTGTAAAAACGTCACTACAGAATTGATAGTGCACTGTATAACTGCATGTTAAAAATATGAGTGCTAAAGAACACAAAATGTGTTAAGAAGAAATTATTAATAGATTTTATAATATCTATGCCTGGCCACATTTTTTGAGGACAGGATCTTTCTGCATCTTCCTTTCCTTTCATGCTTTTTCTGCGAAGTTTTTAATTGCTAAATATCAGCATCACCCTGTCAGCCCAGTTCGATCTCTCTAGGCCCATGCCCAGGCAAAATTGCATTGCTGCTGAGCAATTTTTTATTTATGCTTGCCTTCCCATCCACACTGCTGCCTCATTAGTGGCTTGGCTGTCTACATTGTCCAGTCTTTGCCCATTTCTCCATTAGTCCTAGAGGAGCCATCCCAGCAGAAAAACTCCAATTTTGTGGTGACTTTGAACACAGAGTTAGTGACAGGTTAAAACAGAAGCATCAGCTTCTCCTCCTTGTGCAGGCACTGGTATGTTAGCAGTGTTCCTACTAAGCAATGGGGAGGATATTCCCTAATTTATTATTTTCCTGCGTTGACACACATGAAAATAGTATCATGGATAATGGCCCTAATATGCTCTAATTACACCTGAAAACCTTGCAAGTGAGAGCCAGTGTGTGTAGAGATGTTCTTGATTAAATAAAGGCTTCTCTGTTTATATCATGCTAGGGAGACGCATTAAAAAGAAGGTAAGAGGGTAAGGTAAGAAATATGACCTGAAAGAAATTGTCAGGTTAGACCATGAAGGCCAAATGTCGGTGTCCTTTAAGATGTTGGGAGTTTTGCCTCTGAGGAAATAGCCAAAAGACAGTGGCACCCTCTGTCTCTTTAGGGCTTTACAGCCCTGTGCTTCAGTCAGACATTCCTCCAGGTGGTCTTTGCCGCAGTGCTAAAAAGCATAATGAAAGCATGCTGCCCACTCAGGTCAGCCTGCCAGGGCTGCCAGCTCATGGCACTTTCTTTATTGCACTTCAGTTTTCATTTCTAGTAGCATTTCTGCAGGAATAAGTAACGTTTTGACTAATGCAGGTATAAATTATCGGATCATTTCCTGTACCTTACAACTGTTGTAATTTTGCCCCTACAAGCAACAGGGTATTTGAAGACCTCTTTCTTCTTCCAGGTTACCAGCCTTTCCTGCCAAACCAGCAGCACGGGTTCCAGGGTCTCATGGGAGTGCAGCAACCGCCCCAAAGCCAGAACCTGATGAATAATCAACAGGGAAATCAGGTGCAAGGCATGATGGTTCAGTATCCAGCCATGTCATCTTATCAGGTATTTAGGAGCTGCACGGAAAGACTTTTTCTTGGAGAATGCTTAATTGAATCAAGTTTTTGCATCATACAGTGCTCGTATAACTTCATTTGGATAGTGTGTGGCAGGAAGCCTTCTGATGAATACACTTCTGAGTGAAATTGGTTTCTTTGCTTCCTATTTACATGGTCTTAGTACTCCTGATTTTCGTTCCAATTTTGGAATGCTTCAGGTGAACTATTTATTACAGCCTGCAGTGAGGGTAATGTCACAAACAACGAAGGAGTTAGACTTCTTCCTGTGAAGAAAATTAATTTTTAAAAATATAGGAACATTGTTCATTTCTTCTCTTTTTTGCCAGTGCAGTACTGTTTCCTGTAATGAAGTTGAGGGCTTTGTCTGGTCCAGTTAAAAATTACTCATTTGTGGAGACTCCTGCCAAGGATCTCACCATGTCTTCTATAACAAGCTGTAGCCAGATGGATTATTGTTTATTGGATTCTGGGGAGAGGGAAGACAGTGGCTTTATTTTTACCAAGTCCGTAAGTTACCCAGACTTATTTCCCCACCTTTATACCTAGTTTCCACGAGTTATGCCAAGCACGTGTGAGAGGTGGCCTGTGCTTACACTTCCTACTGGTCCCTCTGGGAAGTTAAGAAACTAAATGACATCTAATTCATTTTAATAGATTGCACCGATTGAGCAGCCATTCTCTTTTTCCCTCAGCTTCTTTGAAAACACTTCAGTAACACAGATGGAAATGGGGGAATTGCTTATGGGTAAAATTTTCCCTTTACATCTTCAGAATTACTCTATTGAAAATGTGTTTTAAAGGTTAATGATCAAATTAGACCTTTTAGATGGCCTAGGTATACCAAGGTCGAGTCTTCTGTTTGCACTGATCCCAGTAATGCATATTCTACTAGGTCATGACAGAGAAACTTTCTAGGACTAAAAGGAAGAGGAATTCTCTTTAAAACCTTCTGTAACAAAAAAAATCCTCAGAGATAAGAACAATTCTGGGCAGCAGAAAATAGCACATTTTGGCACAACATACAGTATACTCAAATTCAGCTAGAAGGAATATAGGGATACTGGGAACCTACTTTAACTTACTTAGTAATTGCTATCTTTTTTTTTCGTACTCCTACCTAGGTGCCAATGACCCAGGGTTCTCAAGGATTGCCACAACAATCATATCAACAACCAATCTTGCTACCTAATCAATCAGGTCAAGGAACAATTACAGCCACTGGAATGCCTGTCTACTGTAATGTCATACCTCCTGCCCCACAGAACAACCTCCGGTTGATTGCCCCACACTGCCCCTCCAATAACGTTCCAGTTATTTCTGCCAGCTGCAGGACAAACTGTGCAAGCATCAACAATGCAGGGTGGCAGGTCAAGTACTGACACTGTGGCTTAGAGTCATAAGGATAGAGGTGCATTATTTAACAAATAAATCATGGCCTTCAAATGAAGAGGAACACAACAGAATTATCAGTTGAGGACACGAGTACTGACTATGCTCAAGTGATGTGCTGCTGGAAAAACCTGTAAAAAAAAAAGTAAAAATAATTTGGAAAAAAAATGTTCGCTGGTTAATGGTGCATATTTTTGTCATGTCTGCTAGGTATGCCTTTATAGCTTAGCTAGTGACATGAATTCATTGAGGTAAGATTTTTTCCTACCACTGAACACCACTGTGTAGATTGTAATATCCCTGATTCTGATTAGTTTTGTACTTTGTGTGAGTTTGTGAAGCTAAAAGTATTTAAAAATATAATAAAATCACATTGTACCAAAGCTGTAATGGAAATGGAAAAAAAAAGAAAACAAAAAATGAATTACTGAATGGAGGGAATAATTTATATACACTATAGAGTTTTTATATCGATATATACTGTATTGTAGTGCTTAATCAAAATAAAGCTATTTGACCTCTTGAAGGAAGGTCATGTTTCTACTACCTGCTTGGTCTCCTCTCTTTCTTAGTGAATTTCCTTTCATTTCTGCATTGTCTTTTTTCAGGTGAAGCTAATGGAGGAATGGTGCTTAATGGGCTTAGAGGAGTTTGATGAGAAGGCAACATGGCTGTGTTTCAGCATATGTGTACTATAACAGCTAGGACAACTTTGGAATTGTAGCATAGCCACCCAGTAAGTATTCAGTGAATAATGTACCAGTTCACCTTAAACTGAGTTTGCACTTTGCCAATTCCTAGGACCAGGAATGTAATAAACATAATTCATCATTGCTGAAAGCCTCTACTAAGTCACACCTCTTCAAAAGACCATACAACAGTAGTACGTGAGAAGATGTAGTTGTCCCATTATCTTCCATCCACTGGATGGAAGATCAGTTAATACTGATGTAGCAACCACAGTACCCAGCAATTCTGCTACATAGAGATGCTCTACCCAATTATTGGTGCTCCAGCTGTAAAGCCATTTTGACAAAAGAAGATGATCCAAGAATCAGGTCTGTCATTTTCAAGTAAGCGGGAATGAACAATACATTTGGGAGGCTGGCTTTTAAAACACAGTGCTTTCCCAGAAAGTTTTAGTTTTGTTTTTTTGGTTTTTAGTTCCTGTGGTGTTTTATTTATTATTATGTCCATCTTCACTCAAATTCACATCCTGTTCTGATAAATTGTTCTTGATTCATAAATGCTGCATGGAGTTCCTCTTTTTGCTTCAATGACGACAACATTTGAGACAAAACTGAGTAATTTTTCACTTATACTTAATATTTGATCAATTTTGAGTACCTTTACAATAGTTAAAATTGAACACTACAGAATTACGTATACACATTATGAAAAAAACCCAAGATCCTTCTGTCTATAAAACCTGTACGTGACATAATATGATTTTAGGTACCCAAGATTATAGCAGCCTACATAGCCCTTGACCAATGTTAATCTGAATATGAAACAGCTTTAATTTTACCTTTAGCATATGTGGCCTTTCCTTTGGTTTCTACTTCAGCTGTGGAAACAGAAATTGGAGGGTCTACAATCCATATTTGAAAGGAATATTTTTCTTTTCTATACAATGAACAGATATCTTTCAGAGTTCCTTTTTTTACGTATGTGTCTTAATGTGTGGCATCCAGTCCTGTGGGATTATAAGAAAGCCAAAAACTGAGTTTTATGTAGTGTAATCACGATTCATTTGCTGAGAGACAGTGAAGAGCATGAGCAGTTAAGTTAAAACAATTCACTCTTCAATTAGAGATGAAATGCCTTGGGAGAGCCTGCTGAGTGATTTTTTTTTTCTTTTTTAAAATCAAGATACTGTATTTTAATTTTGCCTGTGACCCTCAGCTCTCATTTCTGATTCCCTGCATTGTATATGCTTAATTTCCTTTAAGTGCTTTATATACAACACAGGTTTCTGTCCTAGCATGGCTATAATTACATGTAATTAATGCTGGGTTTGCTACTGTGGCATCACTGACAGCTGAACAAATGGGTGTTCTTCTCTGTCAAGGCTTCACAGATGAGCAGGAAGGGTCCTCTGCAGGTGACCTTGTGCAGGACAGGTTGTATGTGCCCAGGCTGAAGGAGAAGGCAGGGAGGGGCAAGCTATGCGTCCAGTGTCTAGAATGAAAAGACCCTTTGGTCATCATTATATTTAAGTCACATTTCTCCTCTGAAGCACTACTGTTACCTTATTAATCTTCCCTCTTTTCAGGGAACAATGAATGAATTGCCTGGTAAAAAAATCTGCCCTCAGTGTTACAGGTTGATGCTCTCAGTGGAGATGAAGAAAGGAGTCAAAAAGGAAAGCCTAGGAATCTTGCTTCCGTAGACAGAATTTCCTTATGTCCTTAGGCAACTCTAGGTCATGTCCCCTTGGCAAACAGCATATCCCATGCCTGACCATGGCCATGTTTTCCCATAATTTACCTGTCTGCGAAAACAATGACCAGCTGGTAGAAAACACCTACTTAGCTGTGGGAGCAGGGATCCCACTGACTGACTTTTCTCAGCCTTGTGGCAACAGCAACTACCTGCATATTAATGTGCCTTCCTGCTGATATGCGACTTGAAATTCTTATATAAAATTTAGCAGTTTTGGTAAGCAGTCACAGCCACCCACCTCAAAACAGCCTACATCCTCTGATTGTCTCAGTCTCCAAATGAGAGTTTGAGTCTCCTTAGGCATAGAGGAAATGGAATCTGTTCTCCCTCAGCTATGCCCTAATTTTTACAGTATCATGTATGTGGGGGAGCCATCTCACATGGTGATGCATTTTATTTTATGCTGAAATAATTTGTATTTGTATTTGAAGACAACTAAGTAATTTTTCTGTATCAAGTAAAGGAAAAAAATTCCATAATTTTAAATTTTAATCATACTATATTTTCAAGTCTTTATCCTATTTTTGTTCATTAGTAGAAGTCTTCTGAGCTGGATTGCTTAACACCTTTCTGTTATTGAAAAAGAGATGTTTCAGCATTATCAGAAGGAGAGGGAATGAGGAGGAAAAAAGAAGTAATGTAAATACATATAACAAAAATGCATAATGTGAAGCTCAGTGCTTTTTTCTCAGTCCTTTGAAATATTTGTGGGTAATCTCTGTAAAAGGAGTGCTGTTGGATTCACATGGTCAGACAGCAACTCAGGACCTGGTCACCACGAGTTCAGAGTCCAGCATACGCTAGTGAAATTATTTACAGGACATGCACCTCTCCTTGTGGGGATGCTCTGTCTCCATGGGCTTGTTTTTCTCTAGTCTTCCCTTGTAATTTGGCAGACTCAGACAGCTGCTCTGTGGCAGCCCTGTTGTGGTGCTAGGGACTGTTTGTTGTATTTTCCCTTTGCCTGCTGCATGCTTGCCTTGTTAATTGTATATTGCTTTATCCTCCTTTTTTATATTCTATAGCTGATGGAAAGTTCTGCCAATGCCCCATACATATTTAATTTGCCACTTTTTTTTTCTAATTTTTCTTGCAGTGTGAAACCAAAGAGGCATATCCTGAATTACGTTGACTCCATCAGATGACACTAATCAGCCTTTTGGATGGCTCTAATTCATTTGGGCTGTAATTTGCAGAGGCTGTACGTCCTAACAGAAGCCAGATGCGATTTGCTATTGTTTTGCCCTTTTTGTTGCTCAAGAAGTCAATGATTTCCTTCTAAAACTGCATTCCCTTATGTTTCTCTTTAACTCTGTGTGGAAAGCTTCTTGTACTGAAGAAAGACTGCACAAATTATCCCAGCAGCAAGGAATGGGAATGTGCAGGGGGCATGTAGAGTAGCCAAAGAACCCTGTTCTCTGCTCTCTTAGCTGCTCTGTAGCAGGAGAACCTGCCCTGAGATGGCCACTTAATGCTTCAATACAATTGTTTCACTGGTGTCCCTGAAATGTGCACAGGTCAGTGTCCTTTCACCCCCTCTGTTCACCAGTGTGTTGAGTTGTTTCTTGTGTTGCCTCTTTAGGCCAGCTGCAGAGAAACCAGTTTCTTCCCTTAATGCTCTGTGGAGAGGCTCTGATGAAGGGTGATGCCCAGTCCAGGCTTGGGATTTTGGCATGTTGTCCCTCAGAGCTCCTCTTGACTCATAAGGGAGAATAGTCCTTATTCCTCAAAAGTGTCCCACTCATGCTTAGCCCAGAGACTGTGCTTCAGGAATGCTCACAGCTTCAACACCTGCTTAGCTCATGTTGTCTAAAACTGCATTTCTAGTGTAGGGCATCACCATCATTTTGGGCAGTGGCCAGCTTACAGCAAAAATTGAGGGAAGCTCAGACTGGTGCTTCAACAGCAATCCTACAAGCTTCAAAGAAGTTGTAGCAAGGTGGGGATCGATTGCTTTTTCAAGGTAACAGGCTGTGCTTGCAAATTTGTGCCAGATCATCTCTGCCACCAGGGAAAACTGCTTTTATCTGCATGGAAAACAGATGTACATGAACTCCTTTGGTATCTTTTTATTTTTTTTCTTCTTAGGTGGGGTATTCTTAGGCAGTGTGATTGGAAGAACAAGTGAATTGATAGTAGGCAAGACTGGACATTTTCTACTTAGCTCCCATTTACTTTAATCTCACTAGGTTCCTTTGCCAGGTGGAGCCTGTAGGAAAAAAGGAATTCTGTGCATGTATGTGCATGTGAGTAAATATTTTTGTGATTAAGAAAAATGAAATGTTTGGATTTTCCTAAAGCCTTTCAATTGAAACAAGATTTTAAAAAAATTCTCATGAACTGTGTTCCTGTCTTCCAAGCTAAGTGTTATTGATTCTTTGAGGACATGATTTAGACATGGGACACAATGTCAGGAGGTGATTGGTTACAGTATAGTCCTTTGATATGCGACATTTTGTGCAGCTGCTGGCAGGAAAAAAATGATCTTATCTGGGAATCAAGGAGAAAACAAATTGACATTGCTATCAAATCTCAATTGGAAAATCTGGACAAATTCTGCCTTTGAGATAAAAACTCCTAAAATACATACCTCCACAGGCTAAAAAAATATTACTTTCAACATCTTAATGCTATTGTAAAGGCCAGGAAGTCAGACATTAAAGCATAGTGGTGGATGTTTCTCAGTTTCCTATAAATAACAGTTTAGAGCAATTTGCACATAGATTTTCAGCTAATCTCATTAACAGTAAGTAAAATGGAGGCCAGCAAGCATCCAGAATCTCCTTAGTCCAAATATTCAGTGAGGGTCAAGTCTTGGCTACGCTTAAGCTTGAGGCAAGGTTTCTTTCATAGGAAGCAAGCACAGTTGCATTTGCATGAAGCTCACATGTGGCATTTAAACCGAGCTCCTGTGTGTGTTAATGGACAGCCTTTCATTTTGTTTCATCTCTGCAGATGAAACACTGAGACCGATAGCATGCTGTCAGATGCTTCAGGCATCCACACTCCTGATTCCTTGGGCAACATACTCCCATGACTGTGAGTTATGCACTGCTTGATGCTTCTTTTATTGGCATGGATATAAAAAATCCACATGG